CTATTCAATATTTATATGAACGATATTCCACGTATACCCAACACTGCACTAGCAGCGTATGCTGATGATACAGCGATCCTTGTTCAAAGTGCAGTTGTTAGTCCAGTCATCCAATGTTTACAATCCGCCTTGTCCCGCTTCACGAACACGTGTTGGAGATCTGGCTGACAAAATGGAAAATTCAACTAAATGCTGATAAAAAAAGTTGCAGTTCTACTTACAAAAAAAGAAGCAAATCAATAGAAATCTTCTATTTCAGGAAGGCAGCCCTCCCTACAGTTCTTTGCCGTAATCTCAACGTAATTTAATATATAATTTGCGCTGATAGTGAGTCTGCCGTAATCCCGTCCAAATCCTGTTGGTGACGAATTATTGCCCACTACTTTTTACTTCGAGCGCCACCCGTACAGTCATCAGGTTTTTTTGAAGCAAGAGATGTGTAAAATGAGCAATGCCTTTGCCGGGACTCGCACCTAGACCTCTCGAATACACTTCGAACATGCTTCCAATTACAAAAGGAGGGGGGAAAGTACCTTATAAAGTTAAATACAAAGTTTACTGTGATACTATTAACCGTAAATCTATGCTACATGGAAAACTGAGCACTTATTTCATAGATAAAAGACTGAATTATCCTACTTAGTTGTGCATTAATTTCCGAAGATCATTTGAGCCCGAGGTTCCTAAAAATATTTCTCTTGGAGTGGCAGTAATTTCGTTTTGCTAGAAAACTAAAAGCAATAAACACCTCGAAGAGATTTCCATCGAAGTGTTAAAAATATATTCTGCCTACCTGTAACATAAGCGCTATGTAAGGCGATGTTTTAGCTCAACTAAGTTTTAATTAGAATTTCTTCAGAACTTCTGCTGAAAAATGTGAATAAACTTGCTTGAAATCATGGTTAAATACAGCCAAATATTGAAAGTAAAAATTTCTTAAATAATTTCAGATCCATTTTATAATAACTTTATCTAATACATCCTAAAAATGAATTTTTTCATGCCCTAACATTTACACTTCCAGTTACAGAACTGTTTTAATTGAAAATTCTTGTTTTGGCAATGCCAAATTAAATAATAATAGCAATTTTTGGTAAATAATCAAATCTAACTTCTAATGTGGTCTCCCGGTTCTTATTACTTCTATCTATATGGAGAAGTTTGATACTTGTTATGAAAAATTAAACGAAGTTTGACACCCGTCCAAAAAATTGACCGGGATATTTAAATTTCAAAATTTGCAATTTTTGATGTCATTTTCAATTTGCCTTCAGGAATCGGTTAATTAAGTTAGAATTTTTGAAGATGTAAGTTTAAACAAAGTGCAGCAAAAAAAAAAAAAAAAATGTGTATGCATTAATCTACCTTCTAGATCTTATAATTATTATTCCAGTATTTTTTATCAAGCTCAGTGCCACAATTAATTAGACAGACAAAAAAGAATTTAGGAAAATAATAATCATTTGAAGGGAATAAATTATTAAATGTATCAGGAACACAATAATTAAATGACAAAAATTGCTTATTCTGCACCCCAAAAATTAAACAGAAAATACCATATACTCTTAATTTTTCCATTTTACAATGTTGACTGTATTTTATAATCCGCAATGGTATAAAGACAATAAATAGTACTATTTGACATGAATTTTTTGCGATTTCTCAAAATGGTGCAGAAATTACGAGAAAAGGTGTTTGTGTTTTTCAGTTCTCAAGCTTGAACCATTTTAAAAAGGAGTTTACGCTATTTATATTTTTCTACATCATGTACATAGAACTTGAAACTGTGATTGAACAAATTGTTAAACATGTTTTATTAAAAAAAAAAAAAAAAAAAAAAAATTACAAAAATCTTAGCCTTCAATATGATTTGTACAACTTTATTAAATTTCAGACATCTTTCATTTTATTCCATAAATGATATAAGATAATAAGTTCATTTGTAAGAAATTAACATTATTCAATACAAATGCATGGAATTTAGAAAATAATTTATTTGTTTATCATTAAAATCTAACAATAAAAACCATGAAAAGGTTCTTTAAAAACAATCAACAAACATTTAAAATTCTAATATATATACTAATCAAAACCATGAAAAGGATCATTAGCAATAATCAACAAACATTAAAAATTCTAATATATTTATAACCTAACAAAATTAATTCTTTCTAATTATTCCCTTCCTGAAAAGTATTCACTAGGCAACAGCACTATGCCATTAAATTGTGCAACCTATAATGTCATTAAATTGTATTATGTGGCAACTCAAATAAGCGTGAATAGCAGACAAGCATAGGCTTCCACTTTCAAATTTGACAGTCATTTTTTTTTTATTAGTGTTTTTGCATTCAGTGCATTCCTCTTGACCCACGGTTAAAAAATTGTATTAGAACTGTGGAGTTTACCAGCTGATGAAAAAGAAAGCACTGTATTCCATTCCGTCAGAAATACAGCATTTTGTTCATAAGTTAGGGAGCGCAAAAAATTCGCAGTCCATGAATTTATGTTTCATAAATGATAAGACTTTTATGAATTGAAATTTGTGCAATAATCTGATGTTTTTTGGACAGAAAACAAATTGTTGTACGCGTGAGGGCAGCAGTGCAATAAAAAGAATGACATGAGTTTCTTAGAAAAGGTAAATATATTATAAGGTTATTTTTCTCATATCTCACATTTTTAATTATAATGATTCATTGTTCTTTTACGGAATTCTTAGTATGACGACATTTTCAAAATGGCTGTTGTCTTTCTCACATTGGTGAAAAAAATATTCACCAAAGGTTAGGTTTGTTTTATGTGATTACAGCAAAGCCTATGGGAAGGGATGCCTTCGTGGAGGACTTTCTAAGGGAAACTGGTTCATATACATCTTACATATCGGAAAAAACCACAGAAAATGCCCATGCAGGATTCGAACCTCATTAGTCACCAAAGAGTTGGCAAACTTTAGGACGGAAGTGTGGATAACCAGTTTCCCAAAACCTTAAATAACTATATATTAAATGTTATATGTCTTAAAATGTTATTAAACATATTGTTATGGTTTTTGTATTTATTTAGTTTGCTATTTTTGATAGAATTGTTATTAAAATTACTTTATATTTCCGAGCAATGCAGCACGAGACTTATTTGAAGAGAAAGCTACGCTGGAAAAATTAAAATACAGGAGCACGCACATCTAACATTTTAATAACAGATATCTCGTAATTGTACTCCTTTAATATCCAGAAAAATTGAGAAAATATGAGAAGCTTTTCTTGCATATTTAAAAAGCTTATAAAAAGCTGAAGGAAAACATCTTAGTTCAGTTGTTTAAAAAGTTATTTACTTATTGCTGTTAATGATTGCAAGGAATTTGAAACTGGATTAGTTTTCTCTGTTTTAAATTTTCTCTTTTAAATTAAGTCCTGTTGAACGTTTTAGTAGTTTAAAATATAACTACAGTGTGAGATTGCAATATTGTATGAATATCTGATGAAATTTAAGCATTTTGTTTTTATTTGTTGTGATAATAATAAATTTTATTCACTTTTCATCGGACGTGTGCATTCAATTTATCACGAACCTGTAGGCATGCAACAATATATTAAAATTATATTATTATATGCCTCACGTTTTATAATTGTTCTTTTATAGAATTCTTAATGCACTGTCATTTTCCAAATGGCTGTTGCCTTTTGCACATTAAATTGGTGAAAAATTAATTACCAAAGAGTTGGCAACTTTTCAGAGGGAGATGTAGAAAATCAGAGTTTCACAAAACCTTAGATAACTATATTTGAAGAAATACATATATGTGATAAAACAGCTCTACACAATTGATTGTTTCATTTATTTGAAACACATGAAATAGTTTATAATGAAACTATAACTGATGCTTCAATAATTCAAATATTAAGTATAATGATGCTGCGTGGCGTCTTCCCAGAAGTATTAAAAAGGAAATTTCCCTTGAAAAGTCAACAAATTATTATAAATAAAACATGCAGCCATCCAACAATGGCATCTACATCAAAAGAAGATCTTGCATGAACACCCCATAGCCGAAGATCACCCAAGGTAAACAAACACTAAATATTGCATTACACATCAGGCATGATGAAATGGTGATTATTACATTTTTCTCATTAATTTATGCTTTAAATATACTATCAATTTTATCATAAATTCTGAAGCATTTTAAATATTTATTTTTATTCTTTGCATTAAGCAATAATTCTGCAGTTTCTTTTAGTAGCTTGACATATTAATTTGGATATAATAAGTACCAAATATTCACCAGGTTTTTCGTTTCAAGCAGGAACTAAGCCAGTACTTCCATAATACCATAGGTGACTGAGATATCACTTAACCTAGCGCTAATTTTAAAGTTTTGAGGAAGTTCTGGTGGTAGTCCGAGGACCTCTAACTCTCAAACTGAAAAATTAACCGATCCTGCTGAATAATTGGCATTTTCATTTTACTTGTTATCCACAGGTATAAACTGCAATAAATATGTTAATTTAAGATTCAAGGAATTTTTTACCTATTGAAAATCTTAGCAGATACTTTTGTCTGCAGATACATGTTTAACCTACAAAATAGTTCTAAACAATACCTCAGGTTTTACCCTATTTAAAAGTACTTTCAGGGAAAATCTTCGACGCAATAAATGCAGGGGTCATTAACACATCATAACTGTCAGAACACATATATTATTTCCAAATGAACAAAAAGTTCCATCTTAATTAACATCAAAACAAAAATCTGAGATGGGAATGGCTTGCATTCTAAGGTATTATTAAAGTTATGAAATTAAATAAGAATTTAAAAATTGATTTTTACACACAAAATTATTCCAAAAATTTATTGCACTTAATACTTTTAGAACAATAAATTATATTAAATAGTAATTTTTGATATTTATTAATATTTATAATTTAATTATATATTACAACTGATATATAATTTAACTAATATATCATTATATAATAATATTTAATTAATGAATTTTAACTCACATTTTATATTATCCTATGTATTAGGATGTAATTTTACAGCAAATATATATATATATATATATAATATATATCATAATTGCCATTTTAATTTCCCCCTTCTCCTGATTTCTCAACATCAATGGGCTAAATCTTCTGATTTACCCTTTCAAGAGATGCATGGAAAATAACATGGGCCATTTTATAATAACCAGTTATTTGATTTTTAGTTAAGATCTGGCAGTGTTTGGATTTAAGTTGCCAATGCTATATACTACTTGGCAACTTAAATTTTACATAGAGGAAAAAAGTATCCTTCTTAATATATGAGTTCAAACGTGTGCCTTGATGGAACAATTTTAAGCTTCGGCCATCCATATAAAGGATATGCGAATCTAGGAAGAAAATAAAGTTAGCAAATTAAAAATATAAAATAATATGTATAGGTAATGAAAATAAAAATCATTTATTGTAATTTTAAAATACTAAAAATTACTCAATTTTTTTCAGTATTCTTTAAAGCAGATAAAGGAATCGTTAAGAATATTCTTGAACAGCAAATTAACAACTGTGCTGGCATACAGTCTACAGATAATTATCACTAATAAATGAAAATTAAAATTAATTTTTCAGCCAATTCTATTTATCAAAATGAACTTTTCCGCAGTAATTTTATAAAAATGTACATCTGTAGAATTTTGTGAATTATCTCTGTTACCAATGAATTTTATTAAAAAAATATTTTGTAAGGCTAAGTTGTCAAGAGTTATTTTTTAGTTAAAGCCACTTTCCTGTCGCTCCTAATTTCAGCTTACAATTTCCTATTAGAATGTGTTTTCAGAATCGAAGTTAAATGCAAATGAAGGAAGATCAGTACTTAAAGCCGAAGTTCCACTGACTTTGTTAGAGAGTCAGAGATTCTAACTAGCGTGATTCACCTTTTAGCTTCACTTTCTCCAAGCTATTACTATGCTCGGCCGTATTTCAGGCCCTTGATAGTTTCACCATTTATTTAGTATTTAAGGAGCCAACTCCTGTAGAATTTTGATAGCTTTGGCTATATCTTTTTAGTTAAGCATTAGTTTAGTTCTTAGTATTCTTGAGTTAAAGCCCAAGTGGAGGCTGTTCTGTATATCCTGAGAAAGGGCCATCTGTAAGCTTTATTTTCAGCAATAAAGGGTAATTAACTCTTCTTGAGTTTCTGTTCTCTGAGCTAAAGCGATTATTTGCTTACCAGTTCTCAAGGTTCCATACGCTTAGCTGTAAATTCTAGGTAGGAACTTTATAACTTAACTAACTTATGTTTAAACTTTTGTGATGCAATGATGGCTTAGTTCATACCACAGAAAATAACATTTTCAAAATCGATGATTACATGACTCTCTTGTAATAGTTCATTTAATTCTTCATAAAATTAGTGATGCATATCTTTTAAAACTTTGTGACAGCTAATAAAGTTTAGAATTTTGATTATAGTTTCCTTAAAATTCAAGTTAAGGTATTTAATGAAGATCTAAACATCTTTTCTATAATTCAGAAGTCAAACAACAAAAATCAGCGTTATATTTACAAAATTTTCACAGGACTAGATTTCGATGGTTTTACCGAACCACCATCTTCAGCTGCAAAACCGCAAATGAACAAGATAGGAAATAATGATTAGATAAGATAAGAAAGCCTGGACAAGAATAAGCAAGTGGCACCATCTGTTGGTGAAACCAGAACTAAAACATAATTTCTTTAAAAGCCGAAGGCAAATTTGGATTGGAATTAGGATCGTTAACTAGAACAGAAAGATTTTTATGAATGTGAAATGCCTCTAGAAAATCCAGTTCTCCAATGGAAGATGTTTTTTTGAATAATTTTGGCAGCAGAAAATTGAAAGTGTGATTTTCGGACCAACAATGTTGAGTAACAGAAGACTTCTGTGTTTCCTTTTTTCTAACATATGCTTCATGTTCTTTGATTGCGAAATTTTAAGGCTCTCTTAGTTTGGCCAATGTAAATTAAACCACACTGGCAAGGAATCCTATAAATAACCCCAGGAATTCATATCCGGAATCAGGTGTCCTTGAGTATTAGAACTCGGAATTTTATTGATAGGAGAATAAACAACACCGAAAAGTTAAATTTTTGCAAAATATGTGCAACTTTATAGCTAATTGATGGAAAGAAGGGAATGACAACAGAATTTTTATAATCTCCTAAAATAAGAGTGTGGCTTTTAGTGTGTTGAGATGAGAATTTTTTAACTGCTTGATTAATAATGTTGGGTGAAAAGCCCCTGTCAATAGCTATTGCTTTTAAATAATTTAGTTCTTCATCAAGGGCTAGTTTGGAGGAGCAAACTTGAAGAGCACGGAAAACATAGGAATAAAATGAAGGCTAACTTTTGTTTAGTCGGATGACATGATTTAAAGTGTGGTGGAAGGCAAACCGATTGAAGGTTTACGGTAAACTGTAGTACTGAAGTTGGATGTGTTACGTGTGATCCAGAATGTCGAGAAACGGAAGAGAATTGCAAGTCTCAAGTTCAAAAGTGAACTGAATAGCAGGATCAATAGAATTCATTGTTGAAAGAACTTTATTTAAATCATCTTTATTACCTTCAAACAGGGTAAAGTATCGTCTACGTAGCGGAACCATGCCGGGAAGTTTAAAGTTTCAAACAATTTTGATTCATAATAATGCATGTAGATATCAGCCAGGATGGGACTGAGGGGGCTTCCCATGGCTAATCCCTCAGTTTGCTTGTAATATTTATTTTGGAAAACAAAATGTGTTTGTTTCAAACAGAGTTGAGTGAGAGAAATTAGCTCATCAATTTCGATGCAAGAGAAATGAAATTCGCGAAGTCTGGTTTCTAGACATCTTAATGCACCCTCCACTGGGACATTGGTGAATAATGATTTTACATCAAAAGAAACCATGAGTAAATTACAAGGAGAAATGTTCTTAACCTTTTTTACAAACTCTATTGAATTTTTTATGGTGTAAATGTTATTGTCTAATTGAGTGGAAAATCTAGAAACTAAATATTTAGCTAATGGATACGAGGCAGTACCTAAATTTGATACAATAGGGCGGAAAGGAATACCACTTTTTTAAATTTTGGGAAGAGCATAAAATCTGGCACAATTCGCAACGGATGGGATAAGCGAATGTTTTAAGTTGCTTGAAATGATTTGAGAAGATTTGATCGCAGTTTTTATTTTGGACAAGTCCGAAGGTGAAGGATCTTTAGGGATCGGATTATATGGTCCTTCGTTTAAGAGTTTAGTGACACCATCGATGTAAGTGTTCTTATCCATGACGACTATCTGGCCACCTTTGTCGGCCTTTGAAATGATAATATCCGGGTTAGAATGAATTTTGCGCATTGTAGCTCTTTCTCTCGCAGTTAGATTTGGTTTCAAAGGTTTATTATTGAATTTCACATTATAAGTGATAAGATGCCTAATCATTTCTTTCTGTGAATCTGAAACTTTACTGAACTTGAAAGCTTTTTCGATAGGAGCCAAAATCTTTGGAATCGGGGGTTTACAGGTTTGTGAGAAGTTAAAATTATATTTTAGAATTCTCTCTTGATCTTCTGAAAGACTAACATTAGAAATATTAACTATTGGCTTGATGTTTACAATGGGAAGATTTTTTTGAACTACTTGAACTGGAAGACTGTAAAAGAAGTTTTTCGAATTTAACTGCAAGGGTGTTTTTATGACGGTTAACTGCATTCTCCGTTCTAGACCAAGACTTTTGTTCAAGGGCAGTGAACTGCCCTTGAACACTGCTTGACTGCACTGCTTGAAACTGAACTTGACTGAACACTGCTTGAAAAACAACTGCTTGAGATGATTGTTAGATCGCAAATCAATTAATTCAAGCTGCAAATATGACCTCACTTTTTCAAAACTTACGTTGAAAGCCACGGTAAAAATATCAAGTTCTGTTTAAATGTCACTGAAATCTGCATTCGAACTCAAAATGCAGTTTTTTAAAGCCATCTTCATAATTCTTAAGCTTCTCTTCATTTACTGAGGGTACTGAATTTAACCTCGGGAAATGGGATTCATTCTTAGCTAGATGTCTAGCAAACAGACTAAGTTTTAAGTTAAGATAATTAAGTTAAGATTAAGTTTTTTCTAAGAGGACTAATTCACTTACATTGGATTGTTCGAGAAAGAGATAACACTTGATGGTGCCAATCTACCAATGCGATCACATACGACAGAGTCACTCTGTTCACCAAATTCACAAGATTTTACAAGTTTCTTCAGGTCAGTCAAGAAACAATCAAAAAGTTCAACTTCTTCTTGTTTTCTCTTATTGAATAAAAATCTCTCCACCACGACATTTGTTCTAAGCGTTGTGAAAGCTTCAAACCTTTCAAGCACTTTTTCATAGTTGCCCTGATCTCCTGTTGAAAGATTGAGCGTGTTGAACACTTCAACTGCTTCCTCACCAGAGGCATATAAAAATAAAGCAACTTTCACATCTGAATCTTTTGAAGCACTTCCTGAAAAATCTGGAACAGCTGCTTGAATCTGCACCAGTTTTTGGCCACACTGCCGTCAAAACTTAGGCCTTGTGGTGGGCGACAAAATTCCATCTTGCGTCTGCTGAGAGGAAAAACCACCAAAGAGATTGCCTGGCAATTAGTTGTAATACTACGTCATGTTATAATCACATTAATAATTCTTGATCTATAATTAAGTTCATTACAACATGCTCACATAGCACATTATTTATTCCAAACCAACATCAACCGACAATTACTTCACTTCAGTTCGACCAGCAACTAGTGTGTTGCCACGTACATGTAACAGAAACTTCCCGGGGCTATAATTTGCCCATCCTGTGATTAGGGATTCAATATTCTACATTCTATACTTTCTATGAATCTATGCCATCATTACATCTAAGTTTGCTTCTCTCTGCCAACAATATTTTTATGTACCTATGCAATCAATTTTTCTACAACATTAATACTTGTTATGTCTTTTCCATTACAATAATGCAATAATGAAAGAGCAAAATTGGCAGTCGATGCATATATAATATTCATCTTTATATCAATTGATGTTTGCAGCCACAATTCACTTGACACTCTAATTATCCTTATTCAAGAAATTTACATGTTTGATATTGCTGCAATAGGAAGAGAGCAGAGAAGCAGCATCTTAGCAACAACAGGAGTAGAAGAGGAGTGCACAGTTATTCACCTAGAAAGTGAAGATGTCCACAGAATGGATTAACCAATGTGCTCCCAATTTAAATCCCACTGTAGGGATATTAGGGAGATGTCAGGTGCCACAATCTTACCCTCTGAAGAATACCAGACAACTAAAACAAATTCTCCTTGAAGAATGAGAACTCTTACCCCAAACTGTTAGATAATCTGGTGTTGAGTATCGAAAGACGATGCATGCAGCCATTGCAGTTAGGGAAAGTCATATCCCTTAATAAGGATTTCTGGCCTGTTGTTCTACCTCTTGGCCAGACAGTTATTTTACCAACGAAATTCTGTAAATAAAGTATTTTTTCTCTTTTTTCCATACTGTATGCAACTATATATTTTTTGCCCTTTAAGTATTATGCTGTGCCTTTACATTATGAATTTCACGTTTCCCAGTTTAATTTTTCCTGAATTACAGCAAAATCAGAAAATTTGCTTTTGTACAATGGTGCATGTTTAGCTAACAATGCACATTACATAAATAAAAATAATAATAGTTGAAGTATTAGTTGTAATTAACTTCTTTAAAATATAGAATGCATTTGTATTAGTGCATCTATTCTTATACACATTTTAATCTATTATATTGTTTAAACCTTCCCTCAGAAATGGTATACACTGCATAATTTATAACTGATTTTCAAATAATAAAATTAATAAACAGCAAGGATGAGTAAACAAATAAAGCATTAATTCAATACATTGATGAATTATTTTTGATAATATTCTGTTCATAAAACTTTTAGTTAGAATAACAGAATAAGCAAAAAATTCTACATGAACTAAAAAGAGAAAAGCTGAAAATTCTCACTTTCATGAAACGAATGGTGCAGCTGCTCTTCGGTTAAGTGAACAGCACAGTCACTCTAAAATGAACAATTTGAAGTAAGTTGATTTTACAAGCAGGTCAATTAAAAAATGATGCTTTACTTAAAGAATATTATAATTATAATTAATTTTTAGAATGCAAGTGAATGAATTTTTAGAATGAAAGGAACCTACCACACGCTCAAAAACAAATGTGTAAAGATCACCAGATACGTGATATATTTCCACATATTTCCAAACATTTAACAGATGCTGTGTTCTCATTTCATCTGAAAGAGAATTATAAACTATGTAAATAAAATGTAAAATTATACAAACATGAGTATCTTTTTTAGGGAAAAAAGTTATTAATTTCTAAACAAGATGTTTTTAATTAAGACATTGGATAGGGGATAAAATTTATTCTACTTTAATTTTAACTGCAAAAAGAAGACTTTTTCTCAAATACCATATTGGTCTGAAAGTAAACCAATTTTTAAAATGTCCTCTTTTTAGTCCAAATTTGGCCAGAAGGACTATTAATTTCATTTTGGCATTTTGTGTTAATTCACTTTTCAAATTGTTGCCACCAAATATTAGAGCCCTCTATTATATTTAAAAAATTAAATAATGAAGAATCTGCATAAATGTATGAATGTTTCTCGCATTGTGATAAAACAGTGGTACATAGAGCCATTAAATTTTGAATAATAACGAACGTTTCCACCCAAATATGGGCATTTGGAATGCCCATATTTAGAATTTGGCTTATTATCAATTTCATACTTTGTAAAACTTCAACGAATTTTTATTAACAAACTCAACGATTTCAAAATGAGCATTGGCTTAAGGACATAAAAAATGGCTTTTCAACAATGTACGGGGGGAATTATGTTCTGCGTGAGACTGTATCAGAAATTCTAAAGACATGCCCATTTTAAAATTATTTTGGGCTATTGCTATTAACCTGAATTTTATGGTTTAAGTGCAAAGAACATGATGTTTAATAAATAAAGGTAACACATAAAACGTTAAAAAAAGCCCCTTTGTGTATAATGTAAAATCTGAAAGCTTTCAGATTCTTTTTTTTTTTTTGCAATTTTACCAATTTTATGTACGCAGGAAATTGTTTAAACTATAGAGTCAAATAATTTTGGAACTTATTATTTCCTATAGAATGAGATAAGTTTACTCGTTTGTATCTCTTTTTCAAATTTGAATCCCTTACAATTTTTTATTTATTTTATTTATGGATTTATTATTTTTTATTTTTTAAAAATTTTCTGGCAGATTTCAGTTCTATTGGCAAGCAAGGAGTTTAATGGCTTACAATGTAACTGGCATTTGACAAATAAATAAATAAAATCCCTTACAATAAATTACATTTTCACATTTTATATATGATTCATTTTATATGTATATTTCCACAAAACATGAAATAGACTGTTTCGTGACATCCTCTTTATTACTGCAGACATGGCATTTCTCACCTCCTCATCTAATCAGAATATTTTCCCTCATAACTGCCCTTTCAATATTGCCCCCCCCCCGAATGTTCAGAAACCACAGGTCTCTTATTGCTGAGTATTCTAATGTTGACAAAATGATTTCAGACAATGCTGCCAATGCCATAGCAGCAACATACAGCTGGGCATTACCCTGGTGCAAAACTATTGTTTCTTGAGAAAATCTAGTCTCTTCTTCTTCATAGCTCTACAGAACTGCTTTCTATGTAACAACACAACAGTCATTTTCTACCCTTTGCTTGTGCATGTGGAAAACAGACGTCACTAACTAGAGTGGATAATATGCAAGAACATGTTTTATCCATCATTTTCATGTTACCACCTTGAACTGCCTATGTTGTTGAAATACTGAAGCACTGCTAAATGCTTTATAATATATATATATATATATGCATGCTATAACATTTCAAGAGTTTCTTTATGGTTTTTCTCATACTTTTTAGGAAATCCAATTGTGACTATGCATACCATCTTAAAGAGTCTTCTTCATTTGCCATGAGATGATATATTCTGTATTTCCACTTGCTGAGACTAAATACTGAAAGACATGCCTGATCTAGCTACTGACTCAAACATGCCAATGTATAACCTTCACAAAATCCAGCATATTTTTGCCACATTTAATATTGGGAAAGAGAAATAGAGGCAGTTTCCAAAACTTTTCAATCAGCCTTTTCATAATAAGCTAATCCATGATTTTTAAGCTAAAAATATGGAATTTGATTCATATACACTTTCTTGAAAGTTTTTTTTTTTTTTTTTATGTTAAGAAAATATATACACTTAGCCTTACCTTAAAGTATGATATAAAGACCATTTAAGTAACAACTTTTCTTAAATGTATTCAACAGATCAAGCTAAAATGTGTGGGGATGCCTTTTATGTAAGCCTCCTTTCCCTCATATGAAACACTTTAAACAATGCACAATTAAGGGTCACTCCAAAGATCTTCCACTCATTTCCCCCTAGCATCAAACTACTCAAGGGAAGTTTCAGCTGAACAGTATTTTAAATGTCTCCTTGCCGCACTGGCACTATACAAGTACAAACATTTATGCCTTCTTCAGAATTCAAACTCAGACCCATTTTTTCAGTAACCAGCACCATTTATAACTATACTATTCAGGCAGGCAAAATTTAATACAGCAGATCTCCAATGATCCAGACTCAAATTTTCTAGATTGTTTGTCCCTCCTTTAGACCACATAAATTACTTCATTGCTAACTTTTTGAAATATTTTTAATTTCTTCATTGATCTAAATTAAATGAAAAGATAATAAAGTCTATATTCTTTTATGTAGATATTAAATTACTTTAAATAAATTTGTAGCATTAATAGCATAGAAAAGATGCGTAACTTATGAAAATTAATAGAAAATGAATTATGTATTGTACAGGACTACTATTTTTTTGCTAATTCTGTATCATTGCTGAGCCATAAAAAGTTTTCCTTTTCAGAGAAACTGATCAAAAATAGTTCCTGATGTTGCACAGAGGATTCAAAAAATAAGTTATAACTGTCACGATGGCTTAACGAAGCTGCACAACAACAATAAATTATGCAGAAAACAAACCTCAGATCTGTGTCTTGAAAAAATTTTATTGAAATAACACTAAGAGGGGCATTATTATTAATAGAGGCATCAAAACAAAATGAAATTATATGAAATGAAAATTGAAAATTCACTCAGAAGATGAAGTGCAGGAAAAATTACTTTACCAGTAAAAGATTCCAAATGTACTAAGATTCTGCATTAAAGTATAAGATGTACACAGCAAACACAGTATTGTGACCTTCAGCCATATTTGAATGGCATCAATAATTTGAATAGTGTAGGCCTTTATTGGTGGTGCTACTGGCAAAATAATTATACACAAAGTCACAGAGTGATAGTCTAAGAAATTACCAGGAGTTATTATCTGGATGCACAACAATTTTCCAATGATAAAAGGTACAAACAGCCATTCTATGATGGCTCAATGACTATGGTGAATGGCTCTATCATTAAAGAATCATACATTTAACTGAATGTTCAGATAATTCTTTATAGAAGCTGAATTATTATGCTGAAAAATAATATGATGTATCTTGGATTGCAGAGTGTACTGCGAGTGTATTGCAGAGTACTTCAAAACAAAATTTTTATCATTCCCAATAATCAAATGTAAATTATTTCTTGAATCTCCTTGTCTTTAATTCTCTCTTTATGCAAGGAATTTTTTATCATACAATATCCAGCATAAATGCTATATGAGCTTTTCGGTGTAAATCAGCTTATTTTTAGCCGAAAGGGGCATTAGACTCAAAGGGCTATTAGTCTGAAAATGGCATTTTGCGTCATTTCCCTTTCTGCATTGGTTCACTTTTCAAACTGTTGCCACTAAATATTATCACCATGTATTATATTTAAATCATGTAAATAATGAAGAATCTGCATGAATATTTCTCGGATTGAGAAAAAACAACGGTACCTAGAGCCATCCAATTTTGAATAACGTAGTTCTCCAACTATACATGTGAGCCCGAATTTTGAATAGGTTTTGTTATCTATTTCAAATTTTGTAAAACTTGAACGAACTTTTGATTAACAAACTCAATGATTTCAAAATGAGAAATGGCAACACCATACAGAAAAACACTTTCATCTCCAGCATGCGAGACTGTGTATCAGAAATTCTAAAGATATGTTGTTTTGCTGTTTTTAATATTTATATAAATAGTTTGCACATAAAATAAAATATTTTTTAACATAAGCATTTTTAATGGTATAGAAATATTTGTCGAAATAATTATAATAATATTTGTAGAAATAATATAAAATAAAGGAAAAAATAACATTGTTTTACTTGCTTTTCATTAATACCTATAGCAAAAAGGCCAATAATCTAGATTTTTTGAATTTTCAAAAGAGCTGTAGTTCCAGTTAGTCTGGTTATTTTTTAATACTACTTTATAAATAAAACTCTGATTTCTTGCTAGAATTACTATAAATATAAAGTAAAATAAAATAGTCAAGTGCTAAAAAATATTACCTGCTTCTGATTTAGAGTTAAGAAGCATTTTCACAGCAGGCGTATCAAAAAGTTCATTAAAATCTTTTTCATAATTATCACCCATGTCTTCATCAAACTGTAAATTCTCAAAATCTAATCCCATGTATGTATCTGTATCTTCACATGGATCATTTGATGGTTTAACAGCTTCACAATCAGCATGAGAATCAACATTTTCTCTTAAAGGAGATTTATTTTGAGGAGAATTAATACTTTCATTACCTGAATCCACAGATATTATAGAACTTCGTTCTGATAAACTAGATGCATTTGAATTCTTCCTGTTTCTTTTCTGCTCATGAGTATCTGAGGAGAAAATAACAAACTGTCATTGTTAAAGAAATGCAAAAAGAATGAAAAAGAAAATACAATTCTCTATCAGTTTCCTTAACTTGTATATAACAGTTACAACTGAACTTGATAGCATACACATAAAAATTAGTATGCATATGGGAAGCATAACAATTTTCTAAGCTTATTTTTATTGATATCTTACAAATGGAAGCATAACAATTAAGCTTAATAAAGAAACATTTTATTAAAATAATTATAAATTTTCTATTGCAATGAAATCTTTCAATTAAATGCTTAACACAAGGGTTTTGCCCTTAAATATCTGTTGTTATAAAAGCATTTCACATCTAAATATATCTCCTGAATAGCTGATTGTAGACTCTAAGTACCAAGTTAAAAAAACAAGTAAAAGAAATGGATAAAAAATAAAAATAAGTCTTCAAATGGCAATTCTGACATTGCAAAACTTTTTTTAGTAAAAATATATTTGTATACAAACCTAATATGATAAAGGTGTAATTAAGAAAAACATTTTTCTAAACAGTCAAACAAACAACAAGAATACTAAAATAAAAACCTTCCTGATACAATCAAAATGACTTGAATTATCATTAACTAATAGTTACAGCAGCTAAGTAAATTAATGCTAAGAATAGATACAATGTTAAATTTTCAGAGGGAAATTTCTGAGAAATAACTTTTAGAAGCTCTAGTTTAAAATTACCATTAGCAGAAATGCTAAAATGTCATGTTTTGTAATGAGTAAAATTCAATTGATATGACACCAAAGAGACATTTTTTTCTGGAAGGAGGGAGAATGGACATGAAAATTATCAATGTCATATGATGTCATTTTTAAGCATTGACTTTTATTATGCACAAGATTTTCTTGTACAAGATCTTTCACAGATACGGAATGACACTTACTCATTGGAACTTTCTTCATAGTCAGCCTGTATTAAAATTTAAACTTTACATATTTTTACGGATAAGAATTGAAGCTTAAAAAACTGCAATAGTTTCAATGCCTATGTTACTGGATTCTTATTTTAAATTGGAACAACTATCATTAACCATTAAAGTGATAAGTATCACTTTTAAGTATCATTATTTCTTAAGTATGTTTCAATTCATCTTATGTATGATAGTTAAAAAAAATGGTACATGAGGTTAAAGACAGTATAACATTAACCTCATGTACCATTTTTTTTAACTATCATACATAAGATGAACTGAAAGATACTTCAGAAATAATGGCAAAAACAGTACAATCAGTAAAATGTTGTGATCAGTTATAATATGATACATTTTTTCAAACTGTTTTGACTGCTAATTCTTCATTATCAGACAAAATACTACTTGCAAAATGCAAAATACTACTAAAAGACAAAATACTGATTATAAATTTTTCTGTAGTATAGAACAATTACACTTCTGGACTTGAGATTTTTTTACTATCGGTTTTACAATTATTATCATTTAAAATTTTACTAATTTATTTATTTTAATTTTAGCAGCCAAAGCATGCTTGGTTAAGAATTATACTTCTTATTCAAAGTCGCATCTCTGAGTATTTGATAATTTTCATACAAGTGCTTTCCCTGTATACATGGAATGCACTCATGAATATTTTAAAATGTGCAAATGTATTTCTTTTGATTCTGATAGGGACTATAAAATTCAAGCAAAAAAATATAATTTAAAAATTAGGAGACTTTAAAGGGAAAAACAAAAAGGTAGACGTGGGCAGGACACCAGAATTTCACCATTAATTACATAGATATAAACCCACCACACAAGCTATCTAACCCCACCCCAATTTTGATATACAACACCCAAGGGGCAGATCTGCTGGGTCATTAAATTTGGCCTGCCTTATTCTGTATAGCCTTTATTACTAATAATTTGCTATCTTTTTTTTCACCCTATAAGGAATTGTTTACACTATCACATGTTAGCCCGCGTAGGGCTCCAGCCCAAGAAACCTGTGCTTCATGGCCTGCAGCCACCTAAGAAGGCAGATGATCTGCATGCCTCCCATTTCATTCCCCCCTACCACCAAACCACTCACGATAACTAGATTCACCAGCATTTTAAGGGCCCTCACGCTGCTCAGATACCTATACTCTTACAAAATCCATGCTTTCTCTTGGATTTGACCGAGGTAAAGCGATTTGGCAGTTTTAATTTGAAATCTGTACTGTCTTCCTGTTCCACATAAAAGTAAAATCTGGTACTTCATGGATATATCGGCACTTATCAAAACAGAGGAATTGTTGTGTTTTAGGTTTTACAAGAAACAGATGATTACCTACACAAACAAACTTCCACCAAGGGAAAAAATAACTTTCCAAATGGTAGTTCGTTAAGTGAAAGAGCAAAAAATCAATACAATTTCAAATGCCAAAAATAGTAGTTAAGAATGGTACAAATAAAAAATAAAATCTATATTTAGAGATTTTACATGACCTGAATGTCATCGTTTGTAAACAGTTTTAATGAAATGTGAAAATGCAAAGTAAAGTATCTCAGTACTGTTTCTTTACGCTTTTTTACTTCTTGCACTGCATATATTTGCTGAAGTAGAAACCAAATAAATATGAAACTTATTAATGATAATACTTTATGCTCCACAAAACTAAATATTTGCATCAAACACCAAGGAATTAAGTGTTCATTTCTACACCATTCAAAGCTACTTATATAACTTAATTTTCCAAATTCTATTACTTACTATAACTTAATTTCCCAAATTCTATTACTTACTATAACTTAATTTTCCAAATAACTGAAAAAATATCAAATTCATTTAGCCATCTTACTAAATTTCTAAATGTAAATGCGAAGGAATTTTAGCACAAAGACGATATCAGGGGAAAAAGAGGCGGGGGGGGGGGGTTGGGGGGGGGCGGAAAAAAAGGCGAAGAGAGGGGGCGAGGGCAGACAAAAAGATTCACAAACGGCGCAAAGCAAAAAAAGAGAGGCAAAAAGAGGCGGCGGGGGGCCAGCCAAGTCAGAAAAAAAACAAAAGGGGGGGAAGAGAAGAGCAGCCAAGCAGAAAAGCGCGACGAAAAAAAGGCAGAAACGGAACGCAGAGGCAAAGCATGAGGAAAAGGAAAAAATAAGGGGAAGGCAGAGGAAAGAAAGCCCAGGGGAAGGGAGAAAAAACAGCGGGGGGGGGGGGGGGGAAAAAAAGGGGAGGGAGGGGGGAGGGAAGGAATTTAAGCATTTGTTTGTTAAAAAGGTCATAATAATCCAAAATTTTTACATTATTACCATTTTAATCATTTTTTTTTAACTCAAAGGTCATAAGAATCCAAAATGTTTTACATTAAAAAATTAATCTTTCTGTAATTATGAATTGAATTACAAAACTCAGTGCAAAAACATAAAAGACATACTTCGAATTTCGTCTGTGTTAGCAAACTGATATAGCCCTTTGTTGACATCCAAACACTTAAAATATGCAGAACTTTTCAAAGCTCCTTTGAAGCCTTGCACTGCTCTAGAGTAATCAACAGGTCCTCCATATCGACGTTTCTTTCTATGATTCCAGGCCTAAAAATCAGAAATCATCAAAACTGCATAACAATACATTGAACAAAAGATATCAGTCATATACTGAAATACATGCAAACATATTTTTAAGAATGGGTTACATATGAGAATCAAGTTTTTTACATGCTTTTATTTTCTCTTCAAAAATGGTTTTGCTTACAACATTCCTGATGAAAAATAAAGTACATACATATTAACCCGTCAATTCTGAAAGTTGGCCATTCAGAACAAGAAAGTTGGCAGAGATCTGGCTAATTGCTCCTGCAGAATTCTGAAGGAATTCATGCTTCTTTATTTAATAAGCAATTAAGCATTCAATGCACTTTCCGAGCTTCGTAAAAATGCTTTTGTCGATTTCTACTGCACTGTTAGGCACTCCTATTTTAAAGAAAGCACTGTTTCAAATACTATGAGTACTAACTCTATTATTAGGTAGCTTTTCAATCTGTTACTGTTTCGTCAACCATATTCAGCTGATGATATCATGCCCATTAAATACACACTTTTACTGATGGCAGGATCCCATAGTTTTAAAAATGATTCACCGCTGGCTATTCCGTAAAAGATGCATTCCAAATTTTAATCATTTTTTTTTTTTAATTCTGGAGAAAAGTATAGTAATAATAGTTAATTTAAATCCTCCTTTACAGAAACAAAATGTGGCTTATTGAGAATCAATCAGGTTTACACTTAAAAAAAGCACAGATATTGCACATCATGCTTATCTATAACTGGCACTAAATTAAGGTGCTTTAGGAAAATTTCATGATCTATAGGTAAATAAATACAGCCTTAATATATAAAACTCAGAATAAGCTGTGACTTCACTTGGCCACAAATAACGATTATTATTATGCAGTAAACATATTTCGATTGTTTGAGTATTGCTAAGCATAACAGTGCTATTTTCCTACTTGATGTCATGATCTTAAAGAGGATTTTCTGTGAGAAACTGATCTATATTTATGTTGCACACCAGGATAAAATAATAGTTTATGCAGGTAGCCCATTCAAACGCACACAGAATATGGAGGAAATTTCTCTAATTTGGATAGATTAAGATTAATAGTCATATAATATAGTGACAAATTATAAACAGAAAGTAATAATTAAGACACAACAACATGCCCAATAAATACTAATTCAGAAGTCAAACAACAAAAATCAGCGTTATATTTAATTTCACAGGACTAGTTTCGATGGTTACCGAACCACCACCTCACTCAAACCGCACTAACAAGATAAGAATATGATAGATAAGATAAGAAAGCCTGACGATAGCAAGTGTGCCACTGTGGTGAAACAAACTAAACATATTCTTAAAGGAGAAGGCAACTGGATGGAAAGTAGGATCGTAACTAGAACAGATTTTTTGAATGTGAAAAATGCGTCGAGAAATTCCTTCTCCAATGGAAGACGAGGTCGTAATGAAGTTTGGCAGCAGAGGAAAGTGTGACTTTCGGACCAACACAATGGTGAGCAACAGAAATTCTGGTTCACTTTCTAACATTGCCTCAGTCTTGAGAGAAATTTTAAGGCCTCCTAGTTGGCCAATGTAAATAAAACCACACTGGCAAGGAATCCTGAAATACCCAGAATTCTATCCGGATGGGTCCTTAGTATGGACCCATGTTGGTCCGAAAATCTTTCAATTTTTCTGCCTGCCAAATTATTCAAAAACTTCTTCCTTGGAACGGGATTTTCTAGAGGCATTTTCACATTCATAAAATCTTCTGTTCTAGTTAACGATCCTAATCAACCAAATTTGCCTTCGGCCTTAAAGAAATTATGTTTAGTTCTGGTTCACCACAGCGGCACCACTTGCTATCGGCCGCTTTTTATCTATCTAGCATATTCCGGCTTTTCTTTGGGTTTGACTGAGGATTGGTTCGGTAACCATCGAACTAGTCATGTGAAATTTGTAAATATAACGCTGATTTTTGTTTTTTGACTTCTGATATTTAATAATATGTATAAAGTAATAATTTAAAAATTAAATTTCCTATGTGTTTGAATACCTTCTGATATCCTCATTAATAGCGCTTCCTCATTAAGCTGAAATTATAAAATAATAAGGTTGCGCTTTTAACTTTTAAACTATTTATTTATAATCTTAGCATATTATAGAATACAGAAAACTGCAATACCAGCATAGTTCTATTTTTATACGTATACAAAATTGTTATGATTACAACTACATATCTATGATATACAAACTATTGCTTACAACTTTGCCAATTCCTGAAATAAAGGCACAGGCACATTGACATAAAGTTCCACATGTGGGAAATCTCAGTAGAGAAATCGGAGAAAAGGGAAAAGGAAGAAAAAAGAGGGTGACCAAAAAGCCAAAAGAGAAAATCTTACAAATATATAAAATATATATATATATAAAATGAAATAAAAAAAAAGTTGTTTATTATCATTAGAATACTATTCTGATTTCATAACACCCTTTTAAAAGATAATTTTTGAAAGTGTTATGAACTCAAAACTCCAAAACTGAAAAACCTCACAATTTCAGATACAAATAAATCATTAGTTTGAGTACATAATTAAACAATTTATTTTAAAATCTTGGCACCCCTTGCCAGTTTCAATATTTAATGAGGATATCAGAAGGTTCTTTCTTTCTAATTCAAAAGTCAGAAATTCATTCTTAAATATATGACACAGATTCTACAGAACACTTTCAATTTTCATGCTTTCAAAGTGATATTTTTGCTAAAATAAAACAATGAAAAAACAGTATTCTATTTATAGCCGATAGCAAATATTTTCTATGCAGTTCAAGTTAATAAAAAAATGCGTTTCATTCATTTTTATGCATCTCATTCACATACTACATATATGAAATTTGATTATTTACATTTATTTATTATTATACAAGGAGGTTAGGTTATTTGAATATAACAAAGCACATCAGGGCTTTCTACCTAAAGGGAGGAATCTCTTTGTGGAGAACTTACCCAGGAAAACTGGCTTTAAGTACATGGCAACCAACAATGCAGAAACAAACATTCATGTTCTACATGAAACCAACTACGAAAGCAGCCTGTTTGGCTGGGTCGAACTCCCATTATTCAGCAGTCTTAACCACTGGTGAAGCTAATTATTATACAAATAAAACGCAAATGTGTATTGGGTGTTTATAAAATTATGTATATAAATTTGTATACATTTCACTTAATTTTCATTTTTCAAAAGATAACTTCCATTAATCCACAGTTCCAGATTCAAAATTCTGTTTTTGGTTCCATTTTTAGTATACATGTGGGTAACAGCCAACTCATGAATGTTTAAGTATATGTGCATTTACATGATTTCTCTTTAACTAGCATTTTATTGAACAATAGCCACCGATTGTAAAATTTTAAATATTAACAATACAGATATTTGTTTTTCACATAAAAGTTGCTTGTTACAAAATGCTTCTTTTTATTATTATTTATGAATAGAACAGTACCTTGAACCATAAAGACAGATAAAATACGCTATTAGCCAAGTCTCCACCAAGACGTGAGGATGCAGGAAATCAGAAACAGTACCTTAATAAAATTATTATAAACAAAAATAATTGCATCAAATTTATCATTTGTACATTTTCATTAAAAATTAATTATTCTAAAAAAATAATGTTGATTTTCAATGAAACCGCTTACAGCTCTAGCTTAACTCAAACAAAATATTGCAACTCGAAGTTTCGGTCATAACACAGAGCATGAATTTATATGGAATTATCTTTTTCTGTATGTGCTCTTTTAGTGTAACTGGTAGAATATCTGGCAAGCAATAACAAGGTCTATGGTACAAACCTTGGTAAGGTCATATTTGACTTATTCCATTCTCTGGCTCCAAACAACTAATTCCTCTACAATTTAATAAAATTTTTAGATATTCAGTTTAAGATTATGCCCTCTGCACCTTTGGCAAGAAATTAAAAATTTAGCACATAATACGTCACTTATATTACAATAAAGCAATTTAAAAACAGAGGTGTTGAACGCATAAAAGTGACCAAAAAACTCAATGAGAAGATTTAAAATCGAAATAAATTAATTGTTTATAATATTGCTTTTCTTTGGTTGTTTTTATATGTGACTGATTGAGGAAGTTAAAAAATTCTTTTTTCATTATATGGTCAAGTTTCCATCTCGCTGACAAAGTTTAAGAAGTGTTTGGTAAGATATATTAATGCAATCACGAGTTTGGATATTACCAAATAGTACCTAGAATCAGTGCCTCCAAAGTGATTTAACAACATATGGAAATGTATCATATGGAAATGGTTTGGATTATGTGATTACGTCAAAGCCTCGAGGGGTATTTGCCTAATGATGGCTTCATGGAGGACTTTCTAAGGGAAATTGGCTCGTTACACATGGGAAAAATCACAAAAACGTCCATGCAGCCAGCCTGTTCATGGTATTCGAAGCTCAGACCAAAATACTAGTGTTCAGCGACTTTAACCACTCTTCCGCTGGTAGGTTATCATATGGAAATGAAACAGGAATTGGTTGGGACCAAAAAATCTGACCCAGTAGTACAGTAACTTGCTATCTAGGTGATCAGGTAATGAGATTCTATAAATGTAGGGAAGTTGCCTAAAACAGATCCTGAAAGAAGTACAAAGTTGGAGATGAATTAACTTGAAGTCTGTAGTTATTCCAGAAGTTACACTGCTTGCGCCCCTTTCCTGTTCATGCAGCCAGCCTGTTCATGGTATTCGAAGCTCAGACCAAAATACTAGTGTTCAGCGACTTTAACCACTCTGCCGCTGGTAGGTTATCATATGGAAATGAAACAGGAATTGGTTGGGACCAAAAAATCTGACCCAGTAGTAAAGTAACCTGCTATCTAGGTGATCAGCTAATGAGATTCTATAAATGTAGGGAAGTTGCCTAAAACAGATCCTGAAAGAAGTACAAAGTTGGAGATGAATTAACTTGAAGTCTGTAGTTATTCCAGAAGTTACACTGCTTGCGCTCCTTTCCTGTTCACTTTCCATATCAACATGCTTAGGTGTATCCGGTTTTCATGCACAAGAAAAGCATGCGAACAATGATGTAATACCACAGATTGTAAAGAAAATAGAATAAAGGAAACTATATAAGAATGTGATTCAAATTTACATTTTATAATATAAAACATTAAAATTTAACGAAGTTTTATTTTACATTTTAAAAAAAAAACTTACCTTTAAAAGTTCTTCATCAGCAGAACTCAAATCTTTTGTCTTTGTTGGAAACTGCACACTAAAAATACCCTTACTTATGCTCTTTAAATTTTTGCTAAACATGTTCTTTTCTAATGCACTCATTAAAAATTTCTTTAATTCAGATTCAGACTTTCCCATTTTTTAAAAACTCTGTAAAGAAAAGTATACAATAAATCCATAAAATTTAAATATTAATGTAATGAAATTAATATGCTTGTATCACATTTAGTTGATTATCCAAAACTTATTAATATATACAAATGTTATATATAATGTTTTACCATATGGGACTTTAAAAATTACAGTCAGCTAAAATATATTGTGTGGCATAAACACAAAATTTTGCAGGAAAGAAATAATATATTTATATTTCTAATGGCAGATTACAAAGACAACTGTAGGCAGACAAGCAAAGATGAAAGAGAACAGCAAAACTAAAAAACAGTCCACAGTATAACCTGTGGACTTTTTGAACAAGTATAATCTTTCCTAGTCTACAAAAATCTTAAATGTATTTTGTGTATCACCCCCCCCCCAATATCTCTCCCAGAGAGATCCAGTATTAAGTGTAGGGCAACAACTCATATGTGAGGCACCCATTTCCTTGTGAAGGCTGCACAGTTTATAAATTTAGTTTGAGATAATGTTTATTCAATGCAGATTTTACAAGACAGTCATGGCCAGTAACAAGATGAAAGACGGTTTTTACGGACCATAAAGCAGTGTCAAAAATTATGTTAATCCATATTTCATGACTGTTCCCTTCAGCAACGTCGGCTGATCTTTGGAATATGGTAACAGGTAGTTTGGCGACATTTTGGAGGCGATAAAGGTTACTACCTAGGACTTTGGGAATAATGTGAGAAGTACTCAGTTCCGATTACGCATTATTTTGTGTGAGGGAAAAATGAGAGATCATGAGATGTGTCCATGTGACATTTAATGGACGAATCACTGTTCTTTAATCAGAAAAGGATGTAAATTTGTAAAAAAAATATCTGCTGTACAGCATTAGTTTCATTCTATGTTCTTGTGAGACAGTGTTGTTTAATATTTGGATTCCCCTGGCCCTATATAAAGTAAATCCGAAAATTTTTATTGCCATTTATGTGTAATTGAAAAGAATTGCTTAATTGTGGATAAGTATGAATTTCCAACATGTGGGTATGAAATGAGATTGTGTGAAAGGAAGGATATTACAGATAAGTTTGAATGGCGGTGCAAGAAATCTGATGAAAATGGACATTTTGTGATCCGCCATGCACTCAAGATTCTGTAGAAGATTAGGCAAGCTAGTATTTTTAATTATTTGAGGATATTCTTTTTATGCATTGTTCTAAATGTAAGGAGTAAATAAATTAATATGGTATTATTGGAAAATTGTTATTAGCAATGATTTAGTTTAAAATAATTAGGATTTTAAGCTAATTTTTATTAATTTAATGTATGTGCTTATTTATATTTTAAGTAGTGTTTTTTAATTTAATTATATTTTAATTTAATGATCGTGATTTTGAGAGTTATATGTTTGTAGTATTTTGGAATATGAGTAGAAGTAAATGTGCATGGAAAGAATTTAAGTATTTGACACTAAGTATTTGGAACCATTTTTAATGTTTGCGTTAGGAATTGGTAGGTGAGGTTTATAATAGATAATTTAGGGGGAAAAGTTTTTGGATATTTTATTTATTTTATACGTGCAAATGTTCATCCTTGGAAAGGGTATATACTTTTTCGCGATCAGGTAATTTCATATATGTCCTTTTTACTGAATTTAAAGATTCACAAAATTTGCATACATTTTCGTGAAATTTTTCTAATTTATGAGAAAAAAGCAGTGTACATGGATATAGTGAAGAGTGTGCGCAATGCCATTTTTGTGCAATTCTGGGATGTTTTTTTAAGTAAAAATAAGTCGACGTGTACATGGTTTAATTATATTTTAATTAAATGATAGTTATTTTGTGAATTATATGTTCGTAGCAATTTGGTATATGTTTGAGTGGAAGTAAACGTGCATGGAAATAATTTAAATATTTGACACTAAGTATTTGTAACCATTTTTAATGTTTTGTTATGAATTTGTTGGTGACGTTTATGATAGATAATTTAGAGGTAAAAGTTTTTGGATATTTTATTTATATTATACGTGAAAATGTTCATCCTTGGATAGGGTATATAATTTTTCGCGATCAGGTAATTTCAACTATGTGCTTTTTACCGAGTTTAAAGATTCACAAAATTTTCCTGCATTTTCGTGCAAATTTTTGTAATTTATGAGAAATAGCAGAATAGCAGTTTAGATGGATAAAGTCAAGAGTGTGCACAATGCCATTTTTGTGCAATTCTGGGATGTTTTTTTAAGTAAAAATAAGTCGACGTGTACATGGTTACTGTGTATGTGCGATTTTGAAAAACGCGGCAAGGAGTTTGTGATTCTGCACTTTTTCCCAATATTGCGGTTAATATTTGTCATGATTAAGCAGTTTTGTTCCATAAAATTTCTAGCATAAGTGTAATTCGGCTAGTAGATTGTTGGAAAAAGTGTTGAGTAAATAAAAAGAAAAGAAACATGTCTTTACTTCGTGAAGACAAAATGGCGGCGAAGAAAAAAACAGAGGGTTGCTGTAGCAGAGTTGGTCGCCAAAGTTTTGCCAAAAAATCGCCAAGTTACCATAATCCAAAGATCAACCGCAACTTCTTTCCAAAAAGCTTCCCAGTACTATAATTTTTTATTACACTTTCCGCAGTGTAAAAAAGGATGTGGTTCTCAGTTATTTGGAGAATATCAGCTCCTTTATTACATATATTTTATTACATATATAATGGGTATAAGATGTAAACATATTTCTTATTTGCATGTAACACACAACATTTTACATTTATGCCCAGACTTTTTTTTTTCTTTTTTTGAAGAGTTATATACTGAAAAAAAGTATTTCACAGAAGTTGAAGACAAAGGTTGTTTCTAAAAGACGATTTCTCAAATAAGACTTTAAAATATACAGTCAAAAGTCGTTAATTCGGACACCCATAATTCGGAATGATCTATAATCCGGACCTCAAAACTAAAAACTTTCTGCGCATGCGCCGCGTTGACACATGCGCATAGGCGTTTACGCGTGCGCGTAAGACCTTTTACGACTGCGCATATGAGTGTGCGCAAGTGCAGAATACGTTTTCGCGTGCGCGTTTTATGTATAATGGACGTATAAGCTAAAATTATCTAATTATCTATTTCAGTTAATGTTGATGATTGCGTTGTTCCTTAATTTTCGAATTGGATCCGGCTTATTATTTTTTGCAGACTGTTAGAGCAATTTTATAAAAGTAAGCTTAAACTTTCGATTATATCAAATAGAATTTCCGATATATATTTGTTAATATGTAAAGGATCTAAAGCGAAAGTATGTTTTGAAATCCGAAATCTGTTTATCAATTTCACGCTGCTCGGCGGGGGGAACGCCGCGCGGCGGGCGCGTAATGAATTGGAAGTTGATCTGTCAGCACTATCCTTATCTTCAGGGCAGATGTTTTTATTTTATTTGGCTTATAATTCCTTACCAAATGTAGTATTTCATCTCGATATGCTCCGTCTTTGATATGATTTAAAACAAGTTCCTCGTCATTATAATTCGTTTCCGATAGCGAAGAAAAGTAACAGAGGTTATTGAAAACGAAAAAATTTCGATTGACAAATTAGTCGGTGTTCTTGACACAGCAATTATAGGACTTGAACAGCGGAACTTTGTAACTGAACAAGAAATTATGTCTGTTTAATAGAATTAAAGAGAAAGTATTATCACATGAAACGAAGCAAAACTTAAACAACTTACATTGAAAGAAATGTTTATTTAAGTAAACAAATAAATATTAAGCTTTTTCTTTTTGCAAATTTTGATACCCTTTAGATCATAATTGTTCTTTATTTCATAAATTACGGTTTCATATTTTTAATTTTAGAATTTCTGCATGCCATCTTACGAGATTTAAACTGATGATCTATAATCCGGAAAAATCGATAATCCGGAATCGCCGAAGTCCCGACGAGTCCGGATTAACGACTTTTGACTGTACCGTATATACCCACGTATAAGTCGAGATATTTTGGACAAAAAAAAGACTTCAAGTGGGGGGGGGTCGACTTATACACGGGGCCATAAAAAATTAAAAGAATCGGAAGTTCAAAAATTTCTTTATTTATAATGCAGTTGTTTTCCTCCCACACTCAAATTGGATGACTTATCAAATAAGTCACTTACTTGAAGTAATTTCATGACTTAAATTATGTGACGAACTAATCACAGAGTTTCATACTTTAACTAGAGTAAGTTTCGATAAAACGCACGTTTAAGTCTTTATAATAGTTATTGTTCATTCATGAAATACTTTTGTTAACAGGCGTACACGTCAAAATTTAAAAAAATTGCGGTACAACTCTAATATACGCCCTAATTTCACCAAATGTGGTGATATGTGTTCTGCGCTGATTTTTGGCACGATTGCATGTGTCCTATGGCAACCCTGTTGAATGTTGAAAAATCTTTCACTGGAGCTCGTTGGTTTCGCCTCTGTGTCTGAGAAGATGGGAGGGAAAGATAAAATGGTAGAAGGTTGTTGAATTGAAGTTCGGCAAAAGGAAATATGATTGTGGCTATCCTGTTGAGGGGTAGTGGGTATTTGAAACTGTGGAAAGAGGGTCAGGGAGATTATTTTTAATGGCTAGTGCCTGATAGAAGTAGGGATTTGTGATTTTATTTTGTTTGTGAACCATAGTATAAATTTTCTGGATAGTGTGTCTAACTGTCATGTAAATACGATAGTGATTACGTGGCGGCATGTTAAAGGCGGTATGAAATTTATATTTCTGCTATTCGAAAACGCATTAATTCATGGTAAGTGCATTTTATTTTATCCTTGTTCTTATTTTGTAGAATGTTATGTTCATTGGTTCTTTAGTATGAATTTCTGTCGTTATTGTTGTTTTTTTAAATTGTTTGAAATTTATTTTAGTTTATTTTGTTGTTTAGTGTCTAGACTGTACAATTCGTATATGTTTTTTAAAGTTGAAACAGAACGCTGTGTACATGGTATTATTTGAAATTTATTGTTGTTATGTTATTTTATTAAAGCGAGGAGTGCGTAGATCG